CACTTTTTATTGTATTATTATATTATTAATATTAATAATATATAATATAATATTAATAATATATATATAATATAATATATAATATTAATATAATAATATTAATAAATATATTTCGCAGCTGTTTCCAAATTTCACTTTTTATTGTATTATTATATTATTAATATTAAAATTATTATATTATTAATTATTATATTATTAATATTAATAATATATATATAATATAATATATAATATAATATTAATAAATATATTTCCCAGCTGTTTTCAAATTTCACTTTTTATTGTATTATTATATTATTATGATTGTTGTTGTCGTTTAGTTCAATGGGTGCAAAATAAGGGTCAGTGTGGCGTTTGCGGTGACGCATATCACTTGAAAGAGCCGAGACCGCACGAAGCGGGTGGCGAATATGCGAAAGGCACAATTGTTAGACATTACACGGTTGGACAGGTAATTTCACTTCTCGTTTCACCACCTAATCGTAATTAAATAAATTCGTGTTGTGACAAATATTCAATTGAAAATGGCGAAAAAATAAATCGAAAATGTGGAATAAAATTTTTCCATCCGAATTTTCGATACATAGACAATTGAAAAAATGAATAATATATTCGAAATCGTATCGATTCAAATTTTATCAATTATATCGAATAAATTTTGAATCTCGTTAACGTATAAATGTACGTCACATAATCACGAATATTTACTTTTATCTTCTTCGTGATATCGTGAATTCGAGAATTCGATTCGATTATCCATGATCGATAATTTCTTAGAATTCCCTGCACTTTCGAGCGTTGAAATTATCCTTTTTCGATATATATTAGACTTTTTTTCCCCATAGTAGGCGAACAATTACGAAAAATAATCCATTTCTCCAATTTATTTCCCCCCAATTTTTCTTTCTCTTTTATCGATATCGTTCGAATTTACAGGATATCGACGTCGAGATTGAGCTTACGGCGAATCATTTAGGCAGATTCGAAATGTATCTTTGTCCGAATAACAATCCAAGAAACGTGGCCACTCAAGAATGCTTCGACAGGTAATCTTTTTTTCACGAGAAATGTCGATTATTCGAATCTATCCAAATACATAATTTCTTTTTGCTTTTCCGATCAGATTCCGCAACTAAAATAATTTTAAAAATATTCGTTACGAGAAACGAATATAAATAAATAAATAATAATATAAAATAGATTTTTCAAATTTTGTCAAATTTCGAATCTCCTCTAAAATAAATGACTCTAAGATAAATACTTGGATTCATTTATTTTTCTTCTCTTCGCGTTAATCAAATGCTGTAAAATACTCTAATTATTAATCATTTCGACGAAATCGATATGGATTTTCATATATTATTAGTTAAATTTCATATATTTTACTATCATTTTGTACGTTTGTTCGATAATATCTGTTTATTCGCTATATTATTAGAATACTCGACGTTTCATCGAATTATTAAAAATTATTTATCCAAAAAGGTAAATAATTAATACAAATATAATTAAGTAGACGAGAACGTGTATATATATTATAAAATTACTGAATTTTTGTTTCTCGAGGTATCCATTGTATATATCCGGAACCCGGGATGTTCGATTCGAGATACCCGAAGATAGCGAAAGAAAAGCTATATTTCGATACAAGGTAACTTTACCTGCCTACGTCACCTGTACTCAATGTGTCATTCAATGGAATTATTACACTGGTTCGTATTTTTACAATCGCTTACGTTAACTTTGGTCGTATATGTTCTCTATACATATACATTTCCATCATGGAAACAAAATATAATAAGAGAAATAACTCGTCGTAATTGGCAAACATTCAAACGCGATTTACTTTACGCATTCTACGTTCATATCTTTTCGAATAATCTTTTCGATGTTATTTATTATAATATATATATATACGATTTATCATCAGGTAATATGTGGGGTACTTGTGAAAATGGAACCGAAGCCAATGGATGTGGAAGACCAGAGACGTTTAGAAATTGCGCCGACGTGAGCATCATCACTAGTACAGCTGGAGTACCTCCCCTCTTCGTGCAACAAGACAATCCCTTTTTGCTCTATTACAAAGATTATCGTTCTCCCAATAATATATTCCCACTTGTCGTCAGGTAAGCGTCGATCATCTATTATATCAATTTATCGTGATTGACGATCAGTTAAGACGTATAACTGGGATAAAAGATAAAAAAAAGAGAAAAGAAAGAATAACGTTTCTTTTTTTTAAAATATTATTTATACAGAACATTATATAACAATAAAAAACTTTCGAGAAAATCAAGTCTCGATATCGTATCGAAAAGTATCGAATATCGCATGTAGAAAAATTTCACTAATTTTCAGAAAATTTACCATAAGATAAGAGTCGAGTATCGTTACAAGAGAGAATAAACGAATGATATAGAGTGCAACGCTTTTTCAGCGCTTCGAGAATTTTCCAGATTAAATACACGTTAATACAAAAATTCGAACGAAAAATATTCTACTTGACATATATAATATTACAATTTTCGAGCGCGTTTATATTCGTTATTTATAATACAGACTTTTTAAAACAAGCAACGACTTACGTCAAGTTTTCACAACGTTTCTTTTCTTTCATCGTTGCGCGCGTTAAAAGTAAATCTGATATTCTTCGTTTCAGATCTCAAGTGTGTGTACCTACCCCTCTTTATCGGCGTATTCCAGGAATGAACGATTGGTGTCAAACCAATTGTCTTCGCTATCCACCAAATTGTCCACCAACTATATGTCAATGCCCGTAAGTACTATACCAATATTAATCGTTATTTATAATAATCTATATATATGTGTGTTTATTGAAAAAAATTATCGTATTTTTAATCGTTTTAATGATATTAAATAAGCGAGAAAGATCATTTCCAACGAAAAATAAGAAATATTTATTTGTTTCCAATAGGGAAGTGTGCGACGCGATCGGAGATATCGGTGGAAAAGACGGTGCGAGTGTTTATTGCATGGACAAGTGCCTGGTTTATCCACCCAATTGCCCGTCTCAACGTTGCCGTTGTTATTGAACAAATTTCAATAATTACGCGTCATCGCGTGATGATTCCATTTCGAATCATCGTATCTATCGATTGCGAGCAATTTATCGTGCATTCACGTACAATGGATAACAAGATTTCCCTTTTTCGACGACAATCAGCGTAAGCGAGAATAAAAATGAAACAAGCGTTATTCAACATTTTCGTTATTCAATGCGTGAATTTGTCGAATTATTATCGAAAATAATATATACGTACGTTCGATATATTCCTTGTCAATAACTTTTTCAGTTTTTTCGATAAACACGTGACCGAGATCGTTCCATCGAACAACTTCTGTATAGTGATAGTTGGATAAAGTTCGGCAACCTAACCTAACCTGTTAAAAATATAACTAGTTAAAAATGTTCGCATAACTTCGACTCTTTCTAACGCTACGCGGTTATTCGTGATTATTTTTATTCGATGTTTCGAACAATAAATTATTGAAGTGATTTTATTCTTAACTTTATTAAATTTTCTCCATCTATACCGTATAGCTTTAGAATAAATAAGATATACGTATGTAAGAACAAATCGATAAGTTGAAAGTGGAAAATGGAGTGAAAACGAATTCGAAAATTGAACGTATGAATTTTAGATAGGTAGGTATATCTGTTTGGAACGCGATGGTATAAAATATAGAATGGTATTAAATTGCTAACATACATACCGTATCGTGGAATCGTTCTATAATTCGAACGATTTTCCAATAGCAGACGGTCGATTTATCCGAAAGCACAATAGACAATAGCTGGTCTATGGTATTTTATAACGTCGATTCCGAAATACCGTTACAGATATATGCGTCGCGATTATACGTATTGATATATTAAGCGACAATACACGATTGATTTCCAATTTTTTTTTAAATGCATCAATTTTAAATATAGTATAATACGACTACATAATACGATTATTAAATTACACGTTTTTATGTACAGTATAATATTTTAGAAAAATTACGTTTATATCGTTATATCAATTCGTAATAATAAAGATTAATCGTATCTGTGACGTATCATTTTTAATTAATAATCGAATCGAATTAAGGTAAAGAGGTAAGGAAAAAGATATATATATATATCGAAAGCATGAAAGAAAACACTCGATTTAATCTCGCTATAATATATTTAATATTGGGACATTCTATCGACAGCTTAAAATAATACGCATGTATCACATATTTTATAACATTCTTTCTGCTTTTACGTATACGTGTGCGTGTGCATGTATACGCATACATACCTACATACGCGTAAACGCAGCTACATTTAACGAAACGATTCGGTTCAATTCAATTACGCATCGTAAAATACGTCCAATGCAACAATTCCCTCGATATACAAGCGCATTGTTTCGCGTCGCGTCGCATCGCGTCGCTTCGATTCAATTTCGATAGTTTGTATCGGCCTTGACCAACGTGTCGACGACAATGTGTCGGTTTAACACCGTAGTAGTGTCTTTTCTCCCTTCGTTTACTATTACTTCGTCTCTATACATCTTTATTACTTTACAAAACTATATACACCAAAGCCTTTTTATTTATATTTCTATAACACGTTTCCAAATGTGGTAAGTGGTAACACGTTTTATCCGTTTCATTCTTTTGCATATATTTGTAATATATACGTGGTAGTAATTAAATAATCAGTTTTTATCCGCGTGAACGACAGTACGTTCAACGCGTTGTAATACAGTTTTAAAATATAGTTATAAGTTGCGATAGACGTATCGCGAGTCATTAGCGCAATTACAACTTATCTAATACAAAGGTGATTACTTTGCTTTTTCCTTCAATTCGAATTTTTTACACTCTAATATCGTTTAAGCATCTATTTAACGTTCATAACTGATTTAGAATGTAACGAAGAGATCCATATATTTGGATTCTATTTTATACATTTTTTTTTCTTTTTTTTTCTTTTTTTTTCCTCCTTCCTTCCTTTTCTTTCTTTCTTTCTTTTAAATAGTCCGATTCATCTCTTCGATTTAATCTCTTAAAACGCAGTTAATCGATTCAATTTTACAATTCCTCGTACGTAAACTGCTTTCCTATCGACACACGTATCTTCGCGCCTCTATCTATCCCCCCTCCCTCCCTTCTCTTCGTCGTACGAATCTTTGTGCCCGTTATATAGAAAACAATTTAAGAAAGGATATATCTTTAATTTTTTTTTTCTCGCGTACACGCGATAGTAGTAGCTTATTAATTCGTTATCGTTAAATACCGATGAATCGACACTGTGGTAAAAAGAGATAAAGAATTAGAGAACGGAAACAAGCTGAATAAGATGATTCAGGACACGTTTCGAACGAATACGAACTTTTCTTTTCGTTCATTCTTACGAACGCGATCTCATCATTTATAATTTTCATCTTTTATTTCATCCCCCCCCCCCTTCTTTCCATCGATTGATCCGTGTAAAAACATTTATCCTCCAACTAAATCGAACCATCTTCTTTTGACGATAAAAAAAAAAGCAGCAATGTTCTCGAATAAGACGATGTTGTCGGTGAGACGAGAACCTCTACGCTATCTCTTTCTCGATTACTAGATAACAGTAATTCGCTAGATATACACTTTTTTTTTAAACATATATATGTATATACATACATGTATATATATATATATACACATATATATATATATATATATATATTATACTCTCGTTAAAACGACTTGGCGATAGATCGATCTAATACAAAATACAGATGAAACGTCTCGGGACACGTCAAGGATCGCTGAAATCTTGAATCGATCACCCCTTTTTCTCATCCGTAGTAACGCTTAAAATTATCTTCGTCTTTCTCGAGATGTAGTAATATTCTTTTATCAGTTACATTTTCCCCCTTTTTATCGAAACGATGAGACAATACTAGTTATTCTAAAACGTTAAGTCGTAGAATTTGTTACAACACGAGTTTTCGAAGGAGGGGTGAATTTCAGGTACGTTTTCAGTCTTTTCCCGATAAACATGGCTCGTTCCCGACTAGTTATTCGTACTATCGCTACTAGGTGGGAAACGACGGATAACGAGATATTACGAAAAATTTAATCGCACAATTTCACTCGATAAATCGAAATCTTCTCTTAATTATCTTATCGAAACGGTAAAATATTTCGTCTCGTTTTTCAAAATTTAAAAACGTTTGAAGAAAAAGCGAGTAAAGAATGAATTAAGAAAGGGAGAAGAAAAGAAAAGGAGATACGATGGATGGTACGATTATATATCTAGATCGTATCGGAGCCAGGCTTATCCGTAAATTACGCTATACTTTAAGTTACATTTGTACTATTGGCAAAGATCTAGAAATGGAGAATAAAAATAAAAAGGGATACGTTCCGATTGTTTTCGTTTATGTACGCGAAATAGATATAAATAGATTTAGATCGACTTAAAAATACGACAAGCACTCGCGCCTCGATCAAATATTGCGAATCAAATATCTTTTAAAATTATTTTCGCTTTCCGTTATTCCTACTCTCTCTCTCTCTCTCTCTCTCTAATCTTCTACTCGGACCCGAAAACTCGACGAAAGATTTCATTTGCAAAAAATTTCGCGTCATCGAAAATACACGTAATTAAAATTTAGCTTGGAAAATAAAAATATAACCGATCGCGAGCTATATCGAAACCTCGATGTTTCGAATATCTGTTCTCGCGTTATTCGTAGACGGATTACGAATCGATCGTACGATTAGCGCGTTTTGAAAAATAATAATATAATCGGAGAAGAATAAAGTATTTACAATCGGTTATAAAAATGATCGAATATATGGAAAAAATAATTAGGAATCGTCGAGTAACTTGTATGCCATTTACACTGTTTCTCTTCACGATATCGATTATTCTCGGATCTCTGGCGATGCATTCTCCGTTGAAGGAAAAAAATAATGGCCAACAGATACGTTACACGTCACTTTTCGTCGCCGATGAAACGTTCGTTTTACCAATTTACGTAACACAGCGAACAATACAGCGATACACAAACGGAACGTGAAATCGAATAACGCTTAAAGATTCATGACGTACAACGATCCTTTCGATTGCCCCTTTATATGTGTATTATATGCAAGGGTGATGCGAGTCAGCGAGTAAACGATAGCGAATAAAATCTATTATTCGCGATATCGGTGATTGAAAAATTGTAATAATAACGACGGAACGGCATTATACGCACAAATACATATAAAACGTTTCTGCAAAAAGAGAACAAAAATAGTTGTTTGATTCGTTTGTCGTAATTAATTTATTTTATTTACCAACCTATTTATTCTCGTCGCATGCTTGATCGAACGAAATTTTATTCTTCAACGTGGCATATACTATATATATATATTATTATTATATAGGTAGGTGTGAATAGTCTCTATTCACGAGTCATCGTATTTCGTAAATAAGACTAATCGTCAGTCATACGTCGAAACTACGTACATTTGCTAATGCTGAGACTAACGGAAAAATCATCTCGATACCTATGCCGTTATTCATTATGATTCGTATATAATATTTTTTATATTCGTTCCCATAAGAATCGCGATATCTCACTTATTAACCGACTATCTCTATTTTTCATAAGGAGATGTTTACAATAGTTAAATTGAGCTGTTGAATCGACGATGCACGATCGTCGTGAATACGTCTCAGGATTTCTTAACGCTAGCCTCGAGTGCCCGAACTTTTTCTACGAAACTTAAATAGATATCGTATCGCTGTCGTAAATCAATTTTTTCTTCTTCCTCTTCTTCTTCTCCTCCTCGCAATTTGGGGATATATTTATTATATGTCGTTACAAAACAGATATTCGTCGAAATACATTGAAAAGAAACGTTAAAATATCTATTTCGTTCGTAATTTTTAATATTCGAGTTGTAGCAGACCAAAAGTATTACCACTACGTGTATAATTCACGATCGAATCGATCCTTTCCCACTCCGATTAATATTACAATTTCACTTGATAAAATATATTACGATTACCATGTACGTATAATGCTCTATAATAAGATTATCTTTCTAATTTCTTACGATACAACGACACGTTCCTACCATTTTTTTTTTTTAACAAGCGATCGAATAAATTCTCTAGGAAGGGAGAGAATACGTTGAATTACATCGTCGAGCGGAACAAGTAGTGGAATAATTTCTTTTAATTAATCGATTAACTCGAGAATTGAAATTTAGATCGCAGGGATCTTGGTACTGGGGCAGTGACAGTACCGAGAACCCGATAAACGCTCTACACTTCCAGATAATATATTGTAATATATTGTAATATATTGTAATATATGTATATATATATATATATATGTATAGAACAAGATTCGATATCTTCTAAATAAGTGATAAACAAACGAATCGTTATTATTATTATTTCACGTTTCTCGTACTTTTTTCTCTTTCCTCCTCTTTTGAAATTGAACTCGATCTCGATAATAGGAACAGCGAGTAGAGTAACGATTTTTAACAAGTTAAATAGTTTCTCTAAAGAGATTAAAAGTGAAACAGGTTCGTTTTTTTATTTGGTAATACTCGTTAAACCGTCAGCAGGCCGTTAGAGTACAGGTATCAGGCCATACGCAAGCGAGCTAAAGTTTCTTACGCTCGTTGTTCGACAACGTATCGACGCTTTGATTAAATCGAATATCACGACATTTAAGTTATTTTTTCAAAGCGAAGCAAAGTGATCTAAATCACTCGTTTTTAATCGTCATCTAATTCGAACGATTCATCATGTTGAAATTCACAATCGTACAATATATACATTCGTACAATGTTTTCCGAGAAATTTTTTTCGTTTCGAAACGATTTATTCGAATTAGCGTGGAAACGTTCTTCTTTGCTCGTATCGAAGAAATTTGCGAGCTACGAGAGCGGTCAATGGGCTCATGGTTGACTAGCACTCGCAGAACGCGTCTCTGCTTTGTTTGATTCGCTTTCGTCGAATAAATCGATTTCAAATTCTTGAGAAATAAATAACGAACGGCACGAACTACACGTTTCATTCTCGTTCGGCCAACTAAGTTTAATTTTGCGATTTTGGAAGCAGGCTATTTGCGTTCACAGGCCTGCTTGTTCACTTTCTTATACGCAAATCGAGAAAGAATAAATAAATAAATAAAATAAATAACATTCCTCTTATAGGCGCAAAAGATATCGATTCAAATCTTACTTTAAATCCACAAAGTTGATCACCACAAAGTATCTATTATACTTTATACAAATAAGATTCTTTTTGATACTTATTTATTTATTTATCTGCTTACTTATTTATTTACTTACTTACTTGCTTGCTTTCCTCTTTCCATTTCGAATCGTTTCTTGTATTCTCGACAATTATCGATAAATATCTGTCTATTACAACGGTACGAAACAAGTAATAAGGAAATTTCGTTCAACGAATCGATCCATGAATTTTCGGAATGAAATGAAAGATATCAACGAGAAACGATGATCAATATGTTGGAAATAGATCGGGCACTCGGGCTTGGCAAAAGTGAAGTAAAATGGGAATTGAAATTGCAAATGTTTATACGTGAAATGTATGTTTAGTACCGATATCTAAAGTTACAAATAACCTAAAGTCGCGTAGGTTTTCACATAGGGTGCATCCACTCTACAGTTTTCCCTGAAACAGATCGTAAACCCCGTTAATCGATCTTATGAACGCTGCCCTGTTTAACGTTCTCGTCGAGTCGAGACGACAAAGTCTTTCGCCTTTTAGAAACGAAGAAAAGATCCGAAAAAAAAAAAAATATAAATTCTCTTCGATGAAAATAGCATACTTACTCGTCTTCCCACGGGCACACTTCGTTAACGTTATTGTCACGCTTTTGTTGAGGAGCTGGTTGGGTAACGGGTGCCATTTGGTCGTCCTGTCGGGTGTCCGGCTCCCAAACAGGAACGACTTGCGCCTCCTCCAGCGATTCCTCCGCCTCCGTTTCCACCCGAGTCGAAATTGCCAAATTTTCTTCCGCGACGATAACCGCGTCGCCTCTATCACCCTCCGCCTCCCCTTTCCTTTTCTCCATCTCCACCTCCCCTTCCTTCGCCGCCACACCCTTGCCGCAATCGTCCTCCCTTCTTTCCTCCCCTTGAACCGCGAAGCTATCGCTCGCCAGCTCGCCCACAATCGCGCTAATGCTTATCAGGGGGGCCTTGCTCAATGTTTTCTTCGCGTGTTCCTTCTCCAGCAACGTGACTTTTGACCTCGTTTCCGTCTCAACCACCTCGGCTACATCCTTCCCCTCCGATCGGATCTCCGTCGCCACGTGCGAATATTCCAACGAGTGCTGCGGCGACGGATAATTAAACGACGAAGCCGACGGTCGACCGATCTCTCCAAGCTTCGCCCTTCCGCCAACCGAGCCGATCGAATAATTTCGCGTCGTCGTACCGATCCGTTCCGAGCCACCACCTGTATTCAACAACCAGAATCGTTCAGCCCCTCTTTCTTCCTCCCGTACGACCAACCATCTAACCTTTTCTCCATCTCCATCGATCTTTCAATTAATTTTTATTATTTATTTTCGAATCGAACGAGGATAGATCTCTAGATCTGGGAAATATCATAGGATAACGGAGTTTTTAACAGATAAACGAAGAAAAATTTACCTGTGCTGCTACTTTGTTGCAAACTGCAAGACTTTCGAAGATGTTCCGATACCGCTTCCGTCACCGCCAAGCTCAAGTCCGACGAAGAACTACAGGAATCGAATTGCGATGAATTTTTGCGAGACGGGCGTGCCCCAACTTCGATGGAATGTGACTGGCTAATCAAGTTATCGTTTCCTTCTTCCGCTTGGCTTTC